GAATTGGAACCCAGAATTCCCTCTCCCCAAGGAAAGTGTCCTTATCATTGGCTACCATCACATTTCCCCTTGGTCTCTCACTCTGCATTCTTAGGTGTGTTCAGTGGCCCAACTTCAACAGGAGGAGTTGAGGATACTCTTACCCAACTTGGTGTAAGTTACTTTCTTGAGAAGTGAGAGACATTGATTTGAGTCTGCTCAGCCTAAGAAGGGGATAGAACCCAGTACCTGGGCACATGTTATAACCACTAGGCAATTGTGCAAATAATAGGTGCTACCACAATCAGTCAGGGTTTTTAGCTGAATGATGATAGTTGGAATTACGTGTGCACCCTTAGAATGTATAACAGGTCAGATCTGTCTGTGGGATCTTCACCATCCCACAGCACAGGTGCCTCAGTGAGCAAACTGGCTCACTTCTGAATGTGCTCAGAAGCTGAAGTGTAGGCACTTAGGGCAGTGTTTCCCAACCAGTGTGCTGCGGCACAGAAGTGTGCCATCAGAAATGAACAGGTATGCCATGGAATTTTATCATGGCAATGAGCTGCAATAGGTATGAGGATGGAGAATGCGTTAACACAGGGGTGGGCAAAATGTGGCCTGTGGGCTGGATGCGGCCCGCCAGGCCATTCTATCTGGCCCGCGGGGCTCCTAAAAAATTTAGAAAATGAATATTTACCTGCCCCTGGCTGCCTGTCATGCAGCCCTCAATAGCTTGCCAAAACTCAGTAAGCTGCCCTCCGCCTGAAATAATTGCCTGCCCCTGCCTTTAAAAAATTTTAAGTGTGCCTTGGGCTGGAAAAGTTTAGGAAACATTGACTTAGGGAACTGTTGAGGCCCAATTAGAGGCACTAAATCAACTTAGGCACCTATGGACTTTTGGGCCTGTTGAAGCAAGTCCTGTCTGAATTATTCTTTGGACCTTTGGCACCTAACTTCCACATAAACCCTGTTCAGATCCTTACAGCAGAAAGCCCACAGTCCCTTACCCAACAGGCTGAACTCAGCTTTGCTGATCAACAAAAGCAGGATCCAACAAAAAGTAAGCATTGGTTTCTTTTCGGACTTCAGTTGATAATCAGAGAGGTACCGCATAAATAGCATCTTCTTTGCTGTAGAAAAGAAAAATCAAGCATTTGCTTTGAACAATAATCCACATTAGACTAGACTAGGAAGTGATTGTTTTAGACAGGGCTGGATTATGACAGGGTGGGGCCCTTAACTAGGGGTTCCCAATCTTTCCATGCCGCAGCCCAGCAAACTGTAGACCGGAAGTGGCCGTGGTCGGCAAATTGCGGAGCCCCGCTCTCAGAATTTCTGGCAGAACACAGGTAAAGTTACTTCCACCCCCGGGTGGGAGGGTGGGCCAAACCTCAACTGCAGCTGCTACGGGCCCTGCAGGAGGAGTTGTGGCCTCTCTGCCTGGCTCTGCAGGGCCGTGGTTTGCCAGTCCACTGTCACTTCCAGTCCAGCAGCCAATGCTTAGAGGCCCCTCATAGTGTGAGGCGCTAAGCTATAGCTTGTGCCTAAATCTGGCACTGGTTTTAGATTACTATTCAAAACACAAAACTGCAATAATAAAAATTTAGGGCTGTTTCACCGAGACAGTTCTTTTTTAAAAGTTGTTACTTGTAATGGGTTTCTAAAACATATCAGTTTACACAACTTGAAAGTGGAGAATATATACAAAACTTAATTTAAACAAGCCCTATATAGAAATAAAGATGGAGAGTCAGTTTTACAAATGCATCTCTTCTGTAGTTGCATGCTTAGTTCAGGCAGACAGAGTTCTCCTGACTGAATCCCCATTATGAATCTAGCACTGATTATAGCATTGGGGTGCATACACACAAGAACGGCACAAATTTGTGCCAGGGATTTTTGCCACAGCACTTGTGCCTGAACATGCACTTTGGTGTGGGGCAAGTTGTGCCACCTGGGGCAAACTGACCCTGCCCAGCTCCTCCCAGATCTGCAGCCAGGGGGAGCTGGAGACTGGGGCCAGCACCTGTATAAATAGCTGCCCTGACAAACGACTCAGGGCTACTTGCTCTCAGGAGCTTCTGGGGGAGCAGCCTTGGGAGGAACTTGGCCATGCCCCTTCCTGGCCCAGGCTGCTGCTGTTGCTGCTGCTGCAAGCTTGGTCTCAGGAGCTTCTGTGGAGAAGATGGCCGGACCCCTTACTGCCTCTGGCTATTGCTAGCTTTTGGCTTATTCTCTGAGCTTTTGGGGGTAAATTGGCCGCACCCCTTCCTGCCTTGGGCTGCTGCTGTTGCTGCCTGCCCCCCACAGGGGGGAGGGTCCTCTGCTGCATGCCGCACACTGCTGCCCCACCCTCTCAAACTGCTTTGAGGTGCTGCAACAGGCCAAATGTTTAGATGTGCATGCTCGTCTGGACACATCTAAAAAGGTTCTCAATCTTTTTAGAATTAAGGTACCCCACTTTAGAAGCAAGGCATCCCTCAGATAATGCCAACTAAGTTTTCACTCATTTTTTGACCACAGAGCTCATTTCACAGGCATTTTGCAGCAGCCCCACCACTCAGCACCAACTGGCAGAGGCCTGGGGGGGTGGAGAGGGTGAACAAGGGAGCATCCATCTTGATTGCTAGCTGCCCTTCATGGGGCAGCCACAATCTTGATTGCTGACTGCCCTGTGTGCCATCCCACCTTTTGGCACCGATTGGCAGAGAGGCCCCAGCAGGGGGGACGATGGAGGAGGGGGCAGCCAGGGGGAGCTGGAGACTGGGGCCGCCGTCTGCTTGTCTGCTGCCCTTCATGCTGCCCTGCCAGCTGCCACCTTCCCCTCTGGCAGCAAGGACCACTGGCTCCCACTAGAAAACCAGCATTTTATTTTTATTGGTTTTCTGTTGTTGTTGTTGATTTTGCAGACTATCCTGGATTTTGTGGTTTCTATGAAATCTGCGAAACCGTGAATTAAGTAGGTCCCTAGCTATCTGGGTGTTGGCTGGGCAAGCTGGAATTGCACCATTCATGATCTCAGTAAAGACAGGTCCGATACCATGACCCTTCACTCAGTTAAGCTTCCATGACATTTTTGCTACCTTAACTCTTCTTAACCCAATCAACTGACCACTAAGTGTCATTACACTTGCAAAACTGCATAACAGACACTGACTGAACCTGGAAAAAGAAGTCTAATAGGTGAACCTTTGATCTGAGGGTTCATTATGCAAACCACTCACACAAAAAGGCAGAAGTACAGCACCTGGTTATTTTACACCAGTATGAACTTTACACGCACTTTGCACTTTCAGGCAACTATTTAACATTCAATGTAGCATTTGAGTCAAAAACCACAAACTGAATATAGACCAATATATCCTTGAATCATCTATTCTTAGTGTTAAAAGTAATTTTTTCCCTTCTCTTTTTCCTCATTAACTTTGATACTAACTTGGCTCTAGTTCACCTGCTTCATTTCATATGGATTTCAGGAGTTATCATGAAGCTGCCAGTATAGAGACCATGTACTATACTGAATAACAAGACAGGACTACCTATCACCAATTGAGAAAAGACCTCCAGGAGGCAAGACAACCATGGCAGAAGGTGCAGTGAAACAGAAGTTTGATAGTATTTATGTCAGAACTTCATTTAAAAGGCACTTCATTGTGTATTTGTCATTGCTAAGTCAATAGTACTTTTCTGTATTTTTTGTTGAGGGCAGCCTTTTTTATTTCTCTTTCTAATGTCACATACCCACATGCATTCCCAAACACCAACACACACTCCTACCAAATATCTAGTAACTCAATGCGATACACTCCTACCAGGTTTCACTAGCTACATTACAAAACCCTCCCATTCTCCACAAAAGTCCAGCTCATGTTTGAGATGGGATTTTCTCTAACATTATTCTAGAGAGGATGATGTTCCTTTTTGATGTTCAAAGAGAGCAGTGAGGGAAGAAGTAAAAATGCTATAGAACGTTTGCCCAAAGCCAGCATTAGCATTGTTGGGATGAGACTGGGAAATATTTTGCAAAGCCTCCATACCAAAAATCACAACACATAATTTTCATCAAGATCATACCATAGACCTGATTCGGTGTTGGGAAGCAGAAGAAAGCTACATCTCAAATTTAATAAATTAATATTGCTTGAAAAGTGTGCATGTTGAGAAAGGATTTCAGTCTCCCTCATGCAAATATAGCACCCAGCTGTTTGTTCCTTTTCTACTTATTAGTTTTAGTTATTTACCATATTTATTCAAATCCAAGACAAGGTTTTCTCCCATTTAATATTGGGGGTGGGAGAAAGAGCCTCATCTTGGACTTGAGTACAAACAGGGGTCAGGAGGCTGCTGCAACTCTGACTTCAGCCCCAACCTCAGCATGGGGACAGAACTGGAGCCTCAGCCACTGCCCTCCCACACACTGCCTCCTGCAGGAACTGCCCCCCTCCCACCTTCGTTCCCTGCTGCTGTTTACTCTCCAGTTCTGGCCCTGGCCCCATTATGGCCCAAGGCATGGAGCACATGCTAGCTCCAGCTTCTACCTGGCCATGCTGCAGTGGTCGGCTCTAGCTCTGGCTCCAATCCAAAGCTGGGGCCAGAGCTGGAGCTGCTGCCACCACAACTGCTGCTGTGTGGCCAGGTGAGGACCGGAGCTAGCATGTGCTCTGTGCCCTGGGCCAGGGAGGTAAGCAGCAGGGTGGACAGGCAGTTGTGTGGAGGGTGCAAAGGCAGAGGTGGTAGCAGGGGGATAACGGCAGTAGCAGGGGAGCAGAAGTTGTGGAGAGAAGAGAGGGTGAAGGGCAGGATGCACAGGCAGTGAGGGTGGCAAGTACTGGAGTTGGGGGACAGGCAATAGAGGGAAGGGCAGGGGACATGCCACTCGACTCCCCTGCTACCTGATCCCATATCGCTGCTTGTCTGCTGCAGTGTTAGGGAACAAACTTAAGATGACACTCCAATAATTAGATTCTAGACATGGAAATTTTAAAACAAATTTTCCATGCGTGGACTCTAATTATTGAAGGATCAGCTTCCTTTTAAAGTCATCTTAGAATTTGGTAAGTCCAGTATATTTTAAGGCTTTCTGCACAAGGAAAAGGAGAACAGACTATTTTTAAATAAAAGTTGAGCTTTTACACACTACCGCTCTGTACAGATTGCTGGAACCAAGAACTAAAGATTTTTTGAAGCTCAGAATCTGATGACTCATTGTTTTGGTTGGTTTTATTTTATTGTTATACTATAAAAAATAATAAATATTATAATTACAAAAAATCTGATGATTCAGCTTCAGTCTCACCTGGTTAGATGCTACTTTCCAAGGATCATGGACTACATAAGTAGACCAAGCAAGTAAACAACTAAATAAACAAAGCGGGGCATGGCAAGAGTGATAAATACAACTTAAAATAGCCCTGAAAATATAAGATGCTTTCAGGTGAAAACTCTTCTGAAAATCATCCCATAACACCATCTCTTGAATGAGAATTTGGAGAGGAGAATGAACCAAAACAAAACAGTTCTATCATTCGTGTAGTACAGGAGACAGCTTGATGGATCGTATTTAGGGTTGACTGAAAAAATATAGATTTTGAAAATTCTTTAGCAAGAAAAGGAACACGTTTCTTGGGAACGTATCCCCATTTTTAAATCAAGTCTAAATGTATAGCCCCTCTGTGAAACTGTGAGCTTTGCCAAATGAGGTCAGATGCCATTGGAAATCAATAGCTAGTGGGGTAGTGTGCATGCTACCTGCTCTCTCCAGGTTCTTTCATCTACAGTGTACAAGTCTCACTCCCAAACTGCTAGCCTCAATAAAAGCAGAATCCAGAAAACTGTAGCCAGAAAGACTAACAGGCAGTTAAGGGGTTAGAATATTTCTAACGTTGGCTCTATATTTTTGAAACAGTGGGAAACACAGCCTTAAGAGCTACCTGTTTTGATGTGGGGTCTGCCGCTGCATGGCAGGACACATGCATATGAAAGTATGCCTATGGAGACAAGATATTCAGAAGACAAAATAAACTTTCCATTTTTTTTCATCAACCCTTCCTTTTAAGATCAGCATACCCTTCTTTAACACACATCTCCTGGAGAGGGACATATTTCTCTAGAATACTTTACTGGCAAGAAA